CTGGCATTGTTGGGCAGCTGCAGGTGTCTCAACTCAGCATCACAGGAGATCCAACTGAATGCTTGCTCTTATAGTTCCACTCCTCACCAGTGCTGTGTTGTTGCATCCGATACCCTTGTTTCTGTTTCTCATGTCCAATCCAACTGAATGCTTGCTCTTATAGTTCCTCTCCTCACCAGTGCTGTGTGGTTGTGTCCGATACCCTTGTTTCTGTTTCTCAAGAGGTCAACAATAGAGTTTTGCAACTCAAGTCATAGCCAACCCTATAGAAAGACTAGCACGGGCCAGTTCATCAGCCAGGAGACTAAGACTGGCCTGGGGAACATTTGGCCCTTCAGTCCAACTGAATGCTTGCTCTTATAGTTCCTCTCCTCACCAGTGCTGTGTGGTTGTGTCCGATACCCTTGTTTCTGTTTCTCAAGAGGTCAACAATAGAGTTTTGCAACTCAAGTCATAGCCAACCCTATAGAAAGACTAGCACGGGCCAGTTCATCAGCCAGGAGACTAAGACTGGCCTGGGGAACATTTGGCCCTTCAGATGCTGATGGACTGCTGTTCCCATTATTCTGCCACATGAGCCAGGTTTGCAAAGTTCACAGCACCTGAAGGGATAATTCCATACTGTGGGGTTGTGTCAGTTTGGAATATGTGTGTGAGAGAACAATTATACATTCCCATCAGAAGACAGGATAGAAAATAAACACACACAAACTTTGGAAGTTCTGTTGGAAGCTGAAAGTAACTGCACGCCCACGGATTTTGATGCCCACAGATTGGAATGCTGTAGTTCTGAAAACGATAGTTGTATTCAGGTTGCTTGCTTTCTGGAAATTCAGAAAATAAATCAAGAAAAGTACCATAGCTCAGGAGCAAATCGCCCTCTTTGCATGCGGGAGGTACCCGTGCTCAGTCCACTATCATCTCTGGCTAAGAAGGACGAGACAGGATGGGGCAACCCTGTGTCAGATCTGCTTTAACTTGGATTCTTACCTCAAATCGGGTTGTCAGATCTGCTTTAACTTGGATTCTTACATTGAATCGGGTGCTGGACCCAATGGTCTCATAGGCCTCTTCCAACGCAGTTATTCTATGATTCTGCCTCAGGGTTTCAAGAACGGCAGCCCATCAGAGCGGACTAGACCATCAAGTAATCTGATCAGAGCAGAGGATCAGAGCAAGCCAAAGAAAAGAAAAGGGTTCGCTCAATGTTGCAAAGAGTTTCAGCAAAAGGAGATCACCCAAACCACCCCAGGGGGATGCTGGTGTTGAAGAAAGAAACAGCAACATCATTTCTTAGAGCACACTTGAGTACATAACAAGACACACACACCCCAAAAAAAATTATGGTTGTTTTAAAACAAACTTACAATGCAAAGGCAGACAAAGCGTGGGCTTCTAAATGGACTACAAGCCCCAGCATTCCTTGCCATTGTCTGCTGCAGCTACGGCTGACGGAACTTCCAGTCCAGCCATGTCTGGAAGCCTGTGCTTTGCCCATTCCTGTCATGATGTATATGATGAAAAGACTCAATATATTGCAGTCCCTAAAAAGCATGCAAAGGTAACTGAAGATTTTAAGCTACCCCAGGAAGACAAGGTAGCCACGGTGCCCAACTCACTGTTCCCAGAGGTTCCAGAATTCTCCAGAAAGATCAGAAAATGCTGCAACTGAAGTCCAAATCTGACAGGAGCTTAATGATCTCTTTCTGAATTGTCTGTAATTCTGTGGATCAGCAAGACATTGGAGGTCCTCTTAAGCTTCCTGATGGGCAGTTCATCACACAGATTGAGGCACTCCCTCAAATAATTGAGGACAAGACTAATGAGGATGATCAAACAGTTTTGATATATGTTTGCCTCAGTTAGGCCAAATTTATAATCCAGTTTTCCCTCTGCATTTATAGGGCCTTCCGGTTTACTGTAAACATTAGCATTTTGCCAATGAGGTCATTTTGAAAGTCCCAATCTTGCCCTTCAGATGACTGCTGTGTGTTATGTGCCTGCATGTGTGTGCATCTTCTTTTAAATCTCTTGGGAATTCTTGGCTTGAGACGCACAACTTTCATTTGGCTCCCTCAGACACTAATTTGTGCGTGAAAACCGAAGAAGTGGAGACTCTAATTTAATATCGCTAGATCCCAGGCAGCAAAGTGGAAGCGCTTAATCCAATCGGCTCAGTTGATGGCAGGCCTCCCCGGGTTTATTTCTCATGTATTGGCAGACGTCTTTGGTGCTATCTGGTGCACGTTGCTATGGGGAAGAAGGCTAATTTTGCTGCAAAGGGGAGAAAGAAAATAATAATCATAAAGAAAATCAAATGTTTCTATGGAGCAGGTTGGTGGGGGCTGGGGAGGAGTGAGGACAGAAGTCTAGAAGAAGAAGTCAGCCTACTATGGAAATAGTATGGAAATAGTCAATACAGCTCTATTGTTATTTCCCTTTCCTTGTCTAAGGTGGATCAAAGGTGACAATCTCTGCTTGGGGAAATGTCTTAAGCTTCAGGATCTAGTTAATGGAGTACGAGCTCAGCACATCTGAGACCATGTAAAATTAAGATGAGAGTAGCAAAGGGGTTTTTGGGGTGGGTCCTCCTTTTCAACTATCTTGCAGTGGGCTGAAGCCAGTGGGTTGTCCTGAAAAGGGATGACAGAATCAGCCTGAGTTCTGGATCCCCCTGCCTTTCCTCCTTTCTCTTGCCTCAAGGAGGATCAATGTGTAATCCAGAGGGTCTCCTCATTTTGATCCATGGCTTTCCTTCCAAAGTTGAAGCTTTAGGCCAACGTGGTTCCAGTGCAGTGATCTGAATAAGAAGACATGGGGACACAAAAGGCCCAGCGGTGGTTGCAAGCTCTTCCCTACATTGTCCTTCTTTTTCTTGGACCATCAGCTTCAAAGCCGGACATGGTTCACTTTTGTTGCTGCAACTGGCGTTCCTGTTTTGCCAGTGTCTATTCAGTGGACATAGAAACAGCTATGGCTAAGTAAAGAGGCACCCACAAGCCTTTGGTGCTGCTGTCCGTCCTTTTCTTGTTCATTTATTCCTCTCCCATTGCAATGATAGCTTTCGTCCACATGTGATTATTCTTCAAAAGCTTCTATATCTTGGTGATTTCCTCCACACTGGTTGATACTGGAGACTCAATTCAATGAGCCTCTGCATGGCAAAAGGACAAGTATAAAAAACCAAAGAAACAATAAAAGAAGGCCCGGTCTGATAACATAGCTGCAGCTATGGTGAGATACAGTACCAACAGAGTGAAACAACAAACCAAAAGCCAGTAACTAGAACACACAATCTTAAAATACAAGGAAAAGACCGTGTGGTCCCCAAGATTACACAAATGCAAGGAGCGAGTGATACCTTTTATTGGACCACTAAAAAAATCAAACAAACTGCAAGCTTTTGTCGAGAAAATTCCACTTCTTCAGGCTTAGCGCAACCCCTTTAAAGTACAGGGCTGTTATTGCTGTTGTTTTGTAATCTAATCTTGAGTATAGCTGGAAGTATGCATTTCAGTTTGCCAGTAACCTTTCCCCCACCCTTAAATCTGACGTGATGTACCTGTTTGCTTGGGCCACTGAACTCCATCGAATGCAACCACAGTGCCGGTATTAACCAGCATGTATCCTTTTGTCATTTGTAGTGATCGGAGGATTCCCTCCCTTTGATTTGGATGGTATCCAGTTAAACCAGGTTAATTAGAGTGATCAACTGAATGTCACTTGGTGGTTTGAAATTAAGCCAACTTAAAATTGAATGTCTTCCAAATCTATAGGCCCAGCTGTGTTCCTTGCTGGTTCCCGATGCCAGATCCTCTCCCTACACAATTGCCGCCATCCTGATAGACAAGAGGAGGGCAATAGGCATGGGAAGGCCTCACAACAACTCCGAGGCTCAGTTTTCGGACATGATCCCAGCCACGTTCACATGAAGTACAGTTCCCATGGTTACCAGTGGATCGAAGAAAGGCCAAAACAATTCCCGTTCAAACTGGCCTGTGTTCACAAATGGACTCTAGGTGCAATCCAGAATTAATCAGAGGATAGGCAGAGTCCAGAAATTTTTCAGGCTTCTCCCCTCATAGTTTTGCCTTCTCTTCCTTACTGTCATACATTTTGTGTGAATGACATCATTGTCACAAATGGGGTGCAGACAACTTGATATGCTGTGCTCTAATTTTATAACACTGTCATTTCAAAATAGCCTTAGGTTTTGGTTTAAAAAGAAAACAAAACCAGAAAAACAAAGCAAAGTTGATCTGGCTCTCGTAGAAAAGCAAAAACAAGAAGGCAAGACCTTGAGATACACTCTTCAGAAGTATATTGT